ATGTAGGAATGAAGAATAGAAGAACAGATAATTATCAATCTATACTGTAGAACTATTTACAGTATGATACTCATGAATTTAGAATGTATTAAAAAATATGATGGTCATAAATATGTAACTGCATCTGACAGTTTGGCTGCTTTATTAAACATTAAATCAAGTCACTCAAAAAGGAAAAACATTAACATTAATTTACCAAATTCTTTATAAACTTAAGGGATTCAGACTCAGTAAAGAACTGATCCCAGGAGCTCATTATGTGAGGATCTGCAGCTGCTGCCTGAGCCTAACAGCTGCTGAGATTCCTACATGACCTGTGTGGGATTATCTAATCTTTTCATACGTTTCATAAATAAGTTGTAAACGGTACAAAAGACTCATGTTGAGTTGGGAAAGAAAACAGGAGACAACAATTTAAACTCACAAACTTTATTAAAGCAACTGAGCCCATACAGAATATGGTTTAGTGTCTTACCCCGGATTTACACTACATGCGTCTCCGCTCCGCTCCGCTCCGCTGCGCTGCGGTGCGGTGCGCAGGTTGCAGTTTGTTTGTGTCTCAGTTTATACAGCGTCTGATCCGCTCCGACAGAGTGTGCAGGARGGAAATCACACGATAAATTCAGTGATAAATGTGGAAGTCACAACAAAAAATAATTAACTCTGTGAAAGACGAACTCCAAACACAGCTGAAAACAACAATATAAAAGGCTTGTGGTATCTATGTTGAAACTGTCTTGTCTTTCTGCAACTTCTGATTTCAAAATAAAATCCACGTGTATTGTGTGTGTACACATACTGTATGCTTCAYGTTACATGTTTCCATCTGCTTCCCAAACAGAACCATACATCCTGACAGCATTTGTGTAGAAATATATCCATATATTTATTAATATAGCTGCAATTTCAACATTATTCCGACAAATTATCCAGCCTAAAAGTGTCTTATTTTGAAAACACGGATGTTGTGCTTGTTTCTTTTCCTGTTGGTGCGACGTAATCTTTAAAAATTGACTCTGGCTCAGCTCCGGCATCCAGCAGAAATAGGATCTGTTCTAATTTTGTCAGATCACCGTCCGCTCACCGCCGCCGTGCACAGCCAGTGTAAATACACTCATTGATTATAATGAGTGTGTTTACACTCATTATAATCAATGAGTGTAAACACACTCTGATTGATTATAATGGGTGTGTATTTGCTGCGGAGGTCGGACCGGAGCGGAGCGGAGGCAGAACGCATGTAGTGTAAATTAGAGGTTAGGTTCTGTGTTGACTGAGTCACTCCAGCTCCATGCTGTCACATCAGCGCCCTCTACTGACGTGGAGGACTAACACTGAAAACATTCACTGAAGCACAACGACCAAAACATCCAGATGTTTAGGTAAATGTGAGACTTTATCTCCTGGTGTTTTAAAATATCATCTTTAAACCCCTTTATTTTACCCCTTGTTTTATGATCTGAAATATTTCAACGTGATAAAAAAGCAAATATTATTACCTAGTACTGTAAATGTACAATGTATTAATCATACCCTGTGATGAATTTGTTGTTAACAGACAGAATAATTTCAGCTCGGTGCTACACGTGCTTCAGTTGTTTTCATGTATTTGCTCTAAATATTGTGTGAGAACAGAGGGGAAGGGCAGCAGAGGCAGCAGCTTCAGTTTGTCTCGTCCAATCACCTTCCTGATCTGAAGACGACACAACTGGCACAGACTTCGAGGCGAAACTAGAGTAAAACATAACAGGGATTAACCTCGGTATAACTTCCACTCATAAATCACATCTCTCCTATAATCCAGCTCCAATCTCTCCTATAATCCAGCTGTACCTTCAAACGCAGCCAGGAGCTGCTGAATCTTCTCACCAGGACGTGCCAGGTCCACGGGCCGCTGACCGTTCCCATCTCGCAGATTCACATCAGCACCATAGTTGAGTAAGAGAGACACCTGATCTGCTCCGTCCTGCCTGACAGCTGCATGCAGAGGACTGTCGTCCCCTCTGCCCAAGTTCACACAGGCTCCTGGGTACACAATAAATTCATCTTCACATATTTAACTAACAACAACAACAACAAAAAGTGTAAACATTACAATGGAGCACACTTTTTTCTACAAAACACATCAGCTGTTTGTGTAAGAAAAGAAGTGTTAAACATTTGCAGCTCTTCACTTCAAATCCTGACTCGGCAGTTTTTTTACAGGTTTTGGTTTGTTAATGTGACTTAAAGAAACTTTAAGATGTTTTTTCTTCTGTCAGCCGCCTTTCATTTCATTTTATTTGTATTTTCTTTTTTTTATTGTACATATAATTTTGTTTTTACGTAATGAATACAGTTTTGAAATCAAAAATAAAATAAAGAATATRCTTGGGACACTGAATTCTCAAGATCTCAGCCAATTCAAAATTAAATGTCAAGATCTGAGTGTCAGGATCTTGTTTTTGTATTGATTTGTTGTTTTTTGTTGTACAGTATTCTTGGTTCTTTGTGTGGTTCTGATTCCATTGGTTGTGTTTAGTTGCTCCTTCAGACTGATTCCTGTCAGCTCTGGGGTCTTCCTGTCGTCACACCTGTTATTAATCAGACCAGCTGCCTCTCWKTACCTCGTTAGCTCATTTCCTGTATATTCAGTCTTATTTCCACCCCACAGTTCAGTGCGTGATGTTCCTCACTTATAGCTTTGTCTGCTTCTGAGGAGTCCCACCAGATGCCCCTTCACTAAGGCCATATCCTGCAGAGTCAGCACATTTCAGCCTGAACAGTTCCCAGCATTAACCTTGACTGAGTCACCTGGATGACCCTAGGTCTATCAGCCACAGCTCTATAGTACCGTTTTGCTTTAGGCCTGGGAGCTCTGACGATGTTTTTGTTTTACTGACTTTTTTTTTATTACTATTGCATAAATACATTCAGGGTCATAAATATGGGGACACGTACACAACTCTCATCTTTTTGTCTGTAAAAACCACTACAATTTGCTAAAACTGCCGACATTTAATCTGAACGTATTTACAACCAAATCAGGAGAACAATGTACAAATTACAACAGTTTATATTTGTGCCTCCCACTTTTTAAGGTACCAAAAATGGGACAAATTAACAATCATAAACAATAGTTTCATTTTTTAATACTTGGCTGCAGATCCTCTTCAGAAGTCTGGAACACAGACGTCAGCAGACACTGTTCCATCCCTGGTGTTGYTCTGTCAGGCCTCTACTGCAACCGTCTTCACTTCCTGCTTGTTCTTGGAGCATTTTCCTTCAGTTCTGTCTTTAGCAAATGAAATTCATCCCTTTATCTGGAGGCCCGCTGCTACTCGGCCCCCCCAGTGGGGTATGTGGCTGGCCACCGGTGTGCTGGGGGTTCCTGGGGTCTGGGGCTGGGCACTGGAGTGTGTGCCGGCCTGGCCTTGTGACTGCCTGCTGGGGCTCGGGGCCTCTGGGCCTGTCGGGCTTTGGCCTGGAGGGGGTGCGCCCTGGGGGCCCGGACCTCTGTGCCCTT